CCCTTTGTCTTTAGGGCGGCTTGAGGACGGAGGCAGTTAGACGGCCGTAGAAGTTTAGGATTCAGACCATGTTTGTTGTCCTGCCCTGAGTGAAATTGGAAGTGAAGGTGCAAGTTTGGAATGTTTCCTTGTTTAAGTGTGCGAATGAAAGAATACAGAAGAGAATCTGCCTGCCAAAAGTAGCCTGTCGGAATGCACCTCGGCGTACCTGCTTCTGCAGACAGATCATCACCCTGGGCATCTGTGCATCCAAGTGCATTCAGGCCTGGCCGTTTTCGCCAATGAGGTGGGCTAATTCTGATCTTTAGTCCCTTTTTCTTCCTCCTTTCCCCCATTGTTTTCACTCAGGTTTGGGAAACATGATGATGCGCGCGGGCTGCTGACATACAAGCACATGCTTTTGGGACCTTTTTCCGAAGAAAAGCGGCTTGATATGCCAGTCTTGCTGAGAATTACCTGACTGATGATGCATTTGAAACACCCTGCCCAAACTCTATGCTTACAGCCTCAACAAAGAGGGAAAGCTGACTCAGGGCTCAGGGCCAGGATTGTGTGGGACTCGAAGAAGTAACTGGAAAGTAAAGTGGCTGGACTCTGCTCAGGGCCAGGGGTGCAATCAATGGGCTCACATTTGTGCAAACAAAAGAAGAGAACCATAATCCATGAGATTTTCTGTCCAATAGCCTCAACAATTGGAGAAGGCTTGAAAACCCATCGGCCTGTCAGCCAGTTTGCAGTTTGGAGTCTCTGAGTCAGCGATACAAGTTTCTTGAATATAAGCCCTTCCATCATTTGAGGAAATAATGAAGGCGGAACTATTCACCATGTCCGTTGTACTTAAAAAACTACAGTTCAACCATCACAGTGTTCCCTTCATTGCATTGCACAGCACAGGGGTGGGCCCCGTTTGGAGCACTGCCTCCCCCTGGTGCTTACCACTGGGTGGAGGGTGGCCAGCAATGAAAAACCCAAATACCATGTTTTTTTTCTGCGCCAGACACAGAAAGCGCCAAGCCTACCCACATGCAGCATCATTCCCTCGGCATCATGTTTTTTTTCGATTCCTTTCCTTTATTTCCTTTCTTTTCTTTTTCCTTTTCCCCTGAACTTTGGTAAGTGCATTCGCCAGGTTGAACTATCCTGAGCTTTTGCAACTGACCAGGCTGAATTATGTTGTACCCACTGCCCAACCTTCCTAGAGGAGTCTAATTAAGGTATGCTACAGGTCTTGCACTGGTTATGGGAACCTACACAAAATGGGAAACAGGTTTTCAACACAGCCACAGGAGCTGCTGATGCACCTTTCTTCCATGGGAAACAATCTCTAGCAATAAGAGCATGAATTACATTATGCGAGGCACAAGGCCTCGATAAGCCCTACTGGGCCCCTATTTGCAACAGCGTCGGCCGCCCTAAGTGAAGGCAGGCTTGACAGACCCCAAGAGGCCTATTTTGGACTACTTCGCAACTGGGGAAATTCAGGCAGTTGCGCAGCGCCAGTCGGTTGGAAGCACCCAGGCCCAGGCTGCCTTTCATTGCATGTAACTGAGGCAAGGCCTGGGCCGGATACACAAAGTGGACCGAACAATGGCTGAGGGCAGTTGGGTGCTGGTAACCGCCTCAGGCCCTGGGCCTGTTTCCTTCGGTCTGAGGCTCAGCCTCCCTGGGCCTGCCGGAAGCTTCTGGGCCGGGGCCCAGCACCACAGCAGGCCACTTCGATATAGGGAAGGGCCTGCCCACGCATTGGACATTCGGGCACTGGCTGCTTTGTGCGCAAGTGCTGCTGCGCTATCACCTGCCAGGCTCATGCGCTCACGGGCGAGCTGGAAGGAGCAGGCAGCCATAGCCGAGCTCGCTGCTGTGTGCTGGATGGGGCGCATGGTGATCCTTGGGTGCAAGTGGCATCTGTGAGTTGGGGAACGAGGTTGTGAGTGACACGAGAGACATACCTGGTGCTTGAAGCATGCGGCAGCGGCCGAGATCTGCTCGTACTTCGGGGAGCTGTTGACGTCATCATCGGCATTGTAGAGTAGGCTAGATAGGATCTGCCATCTCTAGTCTGGGCGCCGAGCGCCTGGCATTGGTTCTTCGTTGATGATGATGATGAGACTATTCCAGCATTGGTGTGTTCTTCGTCAATTATGAGCTTTTGGTGTGTTCTTATTTGGTGAAAACTCGTGATGCAATTTTGCTTTTGGTTCGAGGTCACGACTATCTGGTCTCATGTGTATGATGCTGTTTGATTGCTGAAGTTCGCTATTGCTCATCTTCCTTGCAATTAGTGTCGGTTTCCTCGTCCATTCTCAATCCTAGAGTTTCAACCCACGGCCCCCACCTCCTTCCTCTCTCTCTCTCTCTCTCTCCTCTCTCTCTCTCTCTCTCTCTCTCTCTCTCTCTCTCTCTCTCTCTCTCTCTCTCTCTCTCTGTGTGGCATACTGAGCCACACGGGCCCCAGTTAGGGCCCGGTTCCCAGTAGGCAGGATAGGCCTAGGGGGACGACGGTTCAGACCAGGCCCAGATAGGCCTGAGGCAGGGCACGTTTAGGCCCAAACGGGCAGAGGCCGGTACCGGAACAGCCCAGGACCAACCGGTGGCGTTTCAGAGGCTGCCACATTTTGGCGCCAAACCCAGTTTGAATCTGGACCGTCGATTCAGATCAATGGTCCAGGCTGGTAGGTACCAGTAGGCAAGAGGCCGGCCCAGCACTACAAAAGGCTGGGTACCAGCCTCAGTCCAGTAGGTTAGTATGGACGAGGTTAGTCTTCAGGATTAGCGCAGCAGCCAGCGTTAGCTCGATTAGCGCAGCGCTGCAGCAGCAAGGAGCAGCGAGACAGCAAAGTTCAGCGGCGAGCAGGATTAGTGCAGCGTTGGCTATAGCGCCAGTTAACGGCCCAGCCCTTGCAGCGCCATAGCCAGGTATCAGGGAGGAAGGCTTCGCCTTCTCTCCCTCCTTTCCTCTACTGCTCCCCTCTCCTCTCTCTCTCTCTCTCTCTCTCTCTCTCTCTCTCTCTCCTCCTACCTTCTCGGTCTACTTCTACTTCTCCTACGGAACTACTTGGGTATGGGAGATGGTTACGAGTTTTGATGACATCTGAGACAGCGACATTGGGACTACGAGTTGAGGACTATTTGGGATCTGATTTCATCTTCCTTCTGAAGGTGTACTTGACGTTGTGAGATCGATATCTGAGATATTGTGAGACTTGACATTCGCGACATTTYGGATTTTCGTCACTTCTGACAATTCAAGATACTATCTTTGGAGACATTGAGTTGACGTCATCTTCCCTCTCCTGGCCTTTCGTCTATGTCTGAGGCCAGGGCATTCACACCCCTGATGAATGTTGGCGAGTGTTTCGATTGCAGTCCGAGTCAGGTCTGAGTCAGTCCAAGGTATCTCAAGTCTTCCGCTTGCATTTGTATAACTCTGTATTATCTGGTCGGTTCTGGGAATCTGCGCCATACTTATGACTGTGTTTCACGAATATGCAACAGTTTGGTATCGGAGCAGACCAGCATTGGATGACTCACCATTAATTAATTGATTGATTGATTGATTGATTGATTGATTGATTGATTGATTGATTGATTGATTGATTGATTATCAATACCTGCACTCTGTTATCATTAAATCGCAAGTTGCAAAATTTTTCTTTGTTCTCGTACTTTCATGGTTAATTAGGTCGTTAAAATGATAATTTTAGGTTTGCGACATTTCTCCATATCGCGCAATTAGGAATTCGCTAATTACGAGTAAACCTAATTAGCGCTAATTAGGGTTAGTCCTAACCTAATCTAAACGACCTACCTAACCTATAGGAAGTAAGTGCCAGCCAGGCACCGCGCCAATCAAGGCTGATCGGGCCTGAGCAAGGCCATATTCGAACTGCAACTTCACGGAACTTTCACTTTTTGCAAACTGCATCTTTTTTTTTGCGTTTGAAAGGTTGTTTCCAGCAAATTGTGTATCTTCCTGCTATCATCTCTACTAAATGAGTGACTTTGTGATGATGCGAAATTCTCCCGACGAAATTTCGCGAAATTTTTTGAAAGTTATGTCTAAATGTTTAAACTTGCTTAAACTTATTCATTTCTTTTACTGATGCAAATTTAAATATTCTTGATTCATTATTGCAAATGTAAATATTCGCTAATCAAGTTAAAATTTTATTTAACTTCCCAAAATTCGAAATTTTGTCGGGGGGATTTTTTTCTCTCTTGAGTGTCAAGGTCAGGGCGGAACGGGACTGTCTGTGCATTGCTTGCCTGCCCTCCTTTCTTCCCACCCCTACTTTCTCTTTCCCTCCTCTGGGTCCTTCAGACTGCAGTCTCCGGACACGTCAGCAGAGTGACACGTCAGCAAAGTGCCACATCAGCAGAGTGCCACGTCAGCACAGTGACACGTCAGCAGAATGACACATCAAAGTGCCATGTCAGCAGAGTGCCACGTCAGCAGAGTGCCATGTCAGCAGAGTGCCACGTCAGCAGTAACGTGCAGCCGGACACTAAATGCGCCGCAGCCAACGATTGGCAGAGCGCGAATCCAAGGCCGCCAAGCCCCAACAGGGACCCAAGGCACCACAGATCCCGCGCAAGCGACACACAGCCATGGCTCCAGCAGCCGGCCACGCCGACAGCAACATGCCATGCAGTCCCAAGAGGCCGGTTCCCCCTCCTGTGCCAGTTCAACGAGCCGATGAAGACGCACTCGCGTTTCTCGAGCGTCTCCAACAGTATACGGAGACCAATGCCACCGAACTCTGCACACCGGAGAAGGAGAATGCCGCCCGACGGGAAGCCATCCAACTCCAACAACAAGCGGAACAGGCAGCACGTCAGCAGGCCGCTGCCGACTCTGCAGCAACCGCAAGGCAGCAGCAGCAGCAGCAGCTCGAGGCAAGTCAGACTCAGGCTCGGTTCCAGGCTGCCATGAACCTTCTCAACGAAGAAGCAGCATACGGCAGAGTACTTCGACACCAGCACTTCTGAGCAACTGAGGAGCAAGAAGAACCAACCGAAGACGAGAGAAACAGGGAAACTACAGCAGTCTTGATTGAGAACCTGCTGTACACGTGCAATTGGCAACAACGTGAACTGTTGGCTATGCGGCACATCCTCATCCGCCATGAAGGCAACTTCAAGGCAATGGATCAGAACATCACTGCCCTGCAGGCCGACACCGGCATGCTGCAGGCTGCCGACAGCCAACAGCAGGCCATCAACGACCGACTGCAGGACTCCGTCGATGCCGGGATGGCACGGCTGTCCGCGGTTGAGTCAACGGGCGGTACAGTTTCAGACAGCAGCCCAGCTTTGGCCGCTCAAGCCAAACAGCTTGATGATCGGATCAACCACTTGGTCACATCCCTCGGCGACATCAGCAAGTTTGCTGGAGCGTCGACAATCAGCAATCAGCTGCAGACGCTCAGCGACCGCGTTGACGAACGACCGGCCGCTGTCGCCAAGGAATGGAAGATGCCGAACTTCAAGATCGAGAAGTTCGACGACTATCACAAGACTGATCCGCTGCAATGGTGGATGGCGTTCAACGCGGAGGCCGACGTACATCATACTCTGCCCCTACGGCGGATGGACGCATTGTACCTCCAACTTATAGGTGGGGCGCAAGCATTCATGACACACATGGCGGTCACGCTCGAATGTACCATCGCCACCCTCCACACACAGATCACGTGGGAGGAGTTTGAAAAGAAGTGGAAGACCCGGTTCATGGTGAACAATGACAAGCGTCACACCTTGAACAAGATCTTCCACATCTTCCAAGGCCAGCAACCTTCGCGGGAATGGCCGACGGAGTGGCAAAGACTCGTCGCCAGCCCGGAGTTGAACCTGCCGTTCGACTCAATCCGAGGCGAGTTCTTCGCCCGATCTTGCGATGCCTTGACAACTGTTCTCGGCAGCGAATTCGAGTATAAGAACTTTGACGACATGATCGCCAAAGCTAGAGAACTTATACAACCGGCGTGCGGCTAACGAGGTCCGCCAACAGCTCAGTTACGTGGAGAAAGGCAAGGGACAACGGACACCGCAAGTAGCAGCAGTCCAGCAAGGAACAAGTGAGGACCACGAAGCCGTTTCAACATCAAGTGATGGAGATAGGGCGGCAGCGATACCACCGCGGCGCACGAAACCCCAAGGGGGAAAGAAGGCGAAAGAAGCATCGACGGAGGGAGCACGACAGGCACCATGGACGGAATTTGGCATTACCGAAGAAATGTTCAAGTTGCGACAGAAACGGTCATGTTGTTTGTGGTGCAACAACACCAAACACATCACCAGTGCCTGCCTCGACAAGGACAAGGAAAATGTGAAGCGTTCGGGCTCGGGAGACTGAGCACCCGGGAAGTGCAGCGACAACATTTCCCAGTCCGCCGGAGTCGGCTGCCTTGCTAGCAGCCTCTCTCACATCCGGGGACACCGCGGTAGTCGCAAGTTCTCGCGTTGAGTCTGAGAACTATGCTGTCGAGCTGGTCTCACTGTTGAACCAGCCTCTCCATGTGCAAGATTCAAGCGTATGCGCGGCAGTTCCGCCGTCGGACAACGAACCGGTTGCTTCGCCAACCCTTCTATCGGAGGACCCGTCAACTTGAACAGATTTGAGGATCTCGACCCGTTGACGGTTGAGAACTTCCAATGGTTGCCTCTTCCCTCCACCGGTTCTTTGCCAACTCCGCATTGCAATGCCTTAATGGCACATCCACGCGAATACTTGCACGCTGCAGTACCACCTCCGTCGATGAACGGCGGAGTGGTGGTTGTTGATCTTCGCAACTATCTTGCGAAGATCGACCGTGAGTACGCAACGCAACGGTACGTCGACAACGACGCGCCGCTCCTCTACATCCGCATTCGGATCGGAAAGGCGACCTGCAGTGCGTTGATCGATTGAGGAGCGACTCGCAACTACATCAGCCAAGACTTCATGGCACACGCTGGGATGGGCCCGCGCATTCAGAGGAAAAGTCAGCCTACGCACGTCACGTTGGCCGATGGTCACACGCAAAAGTCAGTCGACCGATGCGTTGACTCGGTGCCCGTGTACTTTGCCCCGCTAGCATGCGAGGTCGTGTCTTTCGACATATTGGACACCAAGTTCGATATGATCCTAGGCATGTCGTGGCTGCAAAGCGAAGACCATCCAGTGAACTTCCATCGACGCACCGTTCACGTTCGTGATCGGCGTGGCGAACTAGTCCGGTGTACGGTGCCGCTTCCTCATCCTTCGATTGGTTGTCACGTGGAATCTGCGGCGAGCATTCGCCAATCCATCCGGCGGAACGACATCGAGGAGATGGGCATATGTTTTCTTCACGCCCTCCCACCCGGTGATCAGCCCAAGACCGATACGTCGGACCCACTCATCATTGAGCTGTTGGACAGCTATGAGAATGTCTTTCAAGCTCCCGCCGGAGTCATACCGGATCGGCCCAATACGCCACGGGATCACTCTCGAGGACGGCGCCGTACCTCCGCGAGGATGTATCTACCGCATGAGCGAAGAGGAACTTCAAGTGCTTCGGGCACAACTAGACGACCTTTTGGCCAAGGGCTGGATTCGCCCTAGCTGTTCG